GCCCAAGAGTTGGCGGTGGGTGGTGATGACTAGCTGCCTTCCCTCTAGTCTTACACTGCTAAATTAGGGATGGCTAGCGCAGATAGCCCTCGTGTAGCTTTGCGCGAAATTCCAAAACAAACAAACAAACAAACAAGCTTACCGCTGAACAACTTTCAAATAAAGATAAATAATTCGCCAATTGAATTGATGTTTCAAATCTTATGTGTCACCAAATTGTCTTTGTTTATTGAACTGTTTTTGTTTTTTTGTAACATTTCATCTGTGTTAATAAAATAACTTTTTAACGCACTAAGTGGGGTAATGTATTACGTATTTGCCAGGAAAAGCGTTTGTTAACGCATTAGTGGATGAAGTATTACGTTTTAGCTAGGAAACGCATTTGTTAACGCATTAGTGGATAAAGTATTACGTTTTTGGTAGGAAACGCGTTTTTTTTGTTAACGGCCAAAATCTTGTACCACTTAAACTTTTATTGTCTGCAAACGCAATCTTCGGCTTTGAAATTTTTGTTAGCTTTTAATTTCAATTTCTTAAAGACTCAAAAAGTAGATATTCCGGACATTCGAAGTTTTTTGTGTGTGTGTGTGGTAACGTTTGAAATTTAAATATTTAGAGATTTCGGATTTTCTTAAATTTATTGTATCAAAACAAAAACGTTGTTCTCAATCATTTGTTTTTTATTAGTTATTACCTAGGCTCTAAGAACTCAAAACGAAGTCTTGTTACAGAAGATGTACATAACATCGCCCCCTCCCCCATCCATTACGGTACATAACATCCGCCTCCCCCCTCCATCCATTACGGTACATAACATCGCCCCCTCCCCCATCCATTACGGTACATAACATCCGCCCCCTCCATCCATTCCGGTACATAACATCGCCCCCCTCCCCCATTCATTACGGTACATAACATCCGCCTTCCCCCTCCATCCATTACGGTACATAATATCGCCTCCCCCTCCCCCCCGTGGCCATTTACGTTCCGGTGACCCGTTGTGAGTAGCACCACTGTCCAATGCTGTCTGGTTTGCCAGACACTTCCCATGTTAATAATATTCCTTGTTACACGATCCAGAATCCTTGATGAACCCTCAAACATTTTATGGACCATGCCACTCTACGTTTACCATGGCGGTGAAACAGATTTCTATTGCAACGTTGGAGGTCCTTTGAAAATTGAGTCGTTTCTTAATTGAACGCACTACCGTAATTCATATTTCGAAACGTTCTCCTGTCTCACATACATCTGAAAGCTCTTTATGAGCACTTGGCCAAAGACGAATGACGAAGCTGTATCAAAGTGAACATGCCGTTAGATGATGGTTCTAGAGATGACGCAGAGTTAATGGCCCTTACCCAGAACTGGAAAGTATTTTTTTTTCCTTTTATTTTCAGCTCTTTAAATAACTAAAACGTTTATGTTGTTGTTGTTGCTACTGTTGGTATTCCAAAAGAAAGCCACAATAATCCAGCTCCATTAAGAATACTAATAAAGCATACTATATAGGAGTTATCACAGAGATATATAAGACACCGTCTTAACTACAACCACAAAAGCATTTTAGGAAAATTCCCGTATTTTTTTTTTTTACTTTGCTATAATTCTTCTTTGTGTTCTTTACTTATTTCATCTTTATTATCTTCTTATTTCTATTAGGTTAAACCAGAAAATAAGGAAGGAGGCTCTTCAATATAACAAAAGTAAATTTACTCAAATATATCTTATTACATCTCTACTATAGATCCACATGAGTGAGTATATTGTTTTTTTAAGCTGATTTATTGTTTGTTTGTAATTAAGCACGAAGCTACACAATGGGCTATCTGTGCTCTGCCCACGACGGGTATCGAAACCCGGTTTCTAGCGTTGTAGGTCCGCGGACATACCGCTGTGTTTGTTTGGCATTAAGCACGAAGCTACGCAATGGGTTATCTGTGCTCTGCTCACGACGGGTATCGAAACCCGGATTCTAGCGTTGTAAGTCCGCGGACATACCGCTGTGCCACTGGGGGGCAAGCATAAAGTTGCATTCAGAAAGCATATATCTTTATATTTTTTTACACCTTAAGCTGTTTGTTATGGATTTCGCGCAAAGCTACACGAGGGCTATCTGCG